TGGTGGTGATGGCAATGATAGTGATGATGGTGAGGATGGTGAGGATGATGATAATGCGGTGGTGATGATTATGATGGTGAGGATAACAATGATGATGATGGTGAGGATGGTGGTGAGGATGGCGGCAGTGATGGTGATATGAAGGTGATGGTGGTGGTGGTGATGGTGATGATGGTGAGGATGATGACGATGGTTGTGGTGGTGATGATGATGGCGAGGATGATGATGGCAATGGCACTGCTGATGTGATGAGGAAGCATGGCTGAATGGGGGTGTTCCTGGGGGGGTTGTGACCTGGGCACTTCTGACTCTCTAGCTCTCACACCTGAGTCACCTTACCTCCTGCCCCAACGATCTCCTCCTGGTTGATAACACTTGACCCTATGCCTCCAGCCTCAAATGTTCTCACTCACCGAAGCCCTTCGACACTGATTTTGCAAAACCAGACTTCTTACAACCCACACGGTGGAGAGGCCCTCCTGGCTGCACTGGTATCAGCAGGGACTCTAGGAGTGGGGGAAGGTAAGTCACCCGAGCAGCTGAGTGAGCATGAGTTCCCACAGCTGCCGGGCAGGGTCAGACCTAGTTGGCCCGTGCTCTGTTCCCTGGCACCTGCCTGGTTCACGTGCGGCTGCCTCAGCCTGTGTGGACTCTAACTTGACTCCTCGACATGTCAATTGACTCTATCTGATTCCAAATCTCTGACCCACCCAGGAGAAAGGAAAAGAGAACAACATGCTGCAGGCCCACGCTAGCCTGGCATTACACTAAACTAAAACCCTATAATTAATGGTCTCCCAAATGCAAAATCTGTTTACAGTGTCCTGTTTGTTTACACCTGCATTCGCAGAGCTAGCATTCTGCTTATTTAAGTGAGGAACAGTGCCTTGGCCAGGATCCTCCGGAGAAAACATCTCTGAAGGTCCTAAGTGTGTTTGCATTGACAAGTGTTGACAAGGGGTGGTCTTTTTTCAAAAGACTCCCAGTGGCTGTTCACTTAGAGCTCACATTTTCACTTTGAGGGACCTGGATTCTGAAATGCTCTTTGAAATAAGAGATACATTTTAAAATGACGCTCAGATGTTTAGAAAACACACACACACACACACACACACACAGAGGCATGAACTACCTTTCTAGAAGCCAACAAAGAAGTTGACAATCTCAGCTCTTCCCAGATCTGGGAGCTGCTCTGTGCCTCAGTTTCCCCAGAGAAAGTACTACCTGTGTTCCACCCAGTTAGAACTATCCGAAAGAGAAGGGGCTTCCTCTGGAAGCAATACACTCCCAATCCCTTAGGGTATGGAAGCAGGGGGTCGACAGCACATGGTGGGGGGGAGGAAATAGGGTAGGGTAACTAAATGCTTGGAAGTCCTTCAAGGTCTCACACAGACCTGAGACTCGAGAGTTTTGAGGAGTTCAGGCAAGACGAGTTTATCATAGTAAATGTGACCTAATCTTCTACCTTGGATGAAAGGTGACGTGGGGGAAAAGAAAAGGTATCGAGTTCTGGGTTCTACCCTGGCTCTGGCACTTCCTAGCTGTATAACCTAGGACAGGTCATTCAGTCTCTCTGAGCCGCAGTTCCTTCATGTGTTGGGGAAAAGGGAGGGATGATGCCTGCCTACCAGAGTTAGAAGGATAAATGAGACAATGCATGCTATGCTCAGTAAATGCTCACTCCCTTCCTCCTCTAACTGGTGGATACTGGGGCAGATAAGCTGCTCCTACAGCCCCACAAGCTTCCCCCTCTACCTGGTGGTGCCAGGGATCAGGCATCACCAATCTCCTCAGGCCCATCAGAGAGAAAAGCACCACCCTCCTTAAATGCCATCTCTTGTCCCCTCAAAGGCCCTCATGTCCTCCCGCCACTGGGCCTTTGCACAGGCTATCCCTTCTGTCTGGAATACTAATCTCCCTCCTTTTCCCAATGCACCTAATTAGTTCCTACTGATCACTCTAGTTTCAGCTTGTGAGTGGCTTCCTCAGGGGCACCTCCCCTGCTGTAGACCAAAAACTAGCCCCATTATACATTTTCATAGCCCCGATACCTTCCCTTTGGATGACTGATTAAAGCCCATGGTCCCCTTGACTCCTCGGAGGCAGGGTCCACATTCATTTGCTCAACAAATATGTGCTGAATGAATGAAATAGGGAATGAAAGAGTCCTTCCCTTCCTGCATGTCTGACTGTCTGCTCCTCCCTTGGTGTCCATGGGGTAACCACACAGATCCTCGCTGGCCACTGGCTGTGGCTCTTCCCACTGTCCAGATGCTCTGCCATTGATGAACACCCTGGACACAGCCCCCAGGCCCAGCAGCTTTCAGTTCTCCCCGCCCCGCCCATTCCCCAGAGGAAGGAGCTGAGTCAACGGGAAAGGAACCAGGCCAAGGTCACACAGACAGCCTCCCTCACCACATCGTTCCACGCCCAGGCTCTGCCCACCATCCCACATGGTGTTCTCACAAGAAACAACTCAGCCACAACACCAACAATGAGAGTCACCCCGGGCCCGAGGTGTCAGTCAGCCTACATCTGTTGAATCTGGTCCCACCCCGAGCTTGGGCCCCCAGTGTGGAAGTCACACTGCGTCACCACCGGGGCCTTCAGGGCTTTCCTGGGTGGGGTTTCACCACCACAGAGATGCTTCCAGGCCAGCACCAAGAGGGATGGGTAGGGGCCAGCTTTCCCCCGGCAATTCAAGATGGCCACCACGAAGCCGTCACTAGCAATTTCTCCAGTCCCTGAAGGCACCACACGCTGGCTGGCTTCCTCTCCCTGGGTTTCCCTCAGAAGGGGGCCGTGTCTGGGGCCCACTGCATTTCCCCAACTGCGCCGGTGAGTCTTAGGGTGGCCAGGGTTTCCTGGGCCAGGGCCTGCTCGCCATGCCTGTGATAATGTCTTCACTGACTGCTCGCTGCCAAAGCACCGAGTTACAGCCCCAGATTCACTTCCCGTGAGACCTCAGGGGTTCTGGACAGTTCCACGCAGGGACAGGACGGCAGTGGCTGGGGTGGGGCTGGGTTCATTTTATCTCCTTCCTGAGTGGCTCTGCACATGATGGTCAGGCCACAGACTGTATCTTTCCAGAACCTTGAGTTGGTTTTGGAGAGAGATGGGAGATGACATCATCTGAGCTGGCCTTTTGGAGGTGGTTTAGTTAGTTGGTGGGAAGGACCTCTGGATCGACGACCGGAGTGAGGAGAGATTTTGTCATTACTCAAGTAAGGATGCGAGCCTCATTTGGGAGCAGATGTACGGGCATATGGCTCCCTTACCTTCCCTTCCTTCCTTCCCTCATCATTCCTCATCTGAGATCCATCCATGACCAGGCTCTGAGCTTAGGACCAGAACCAAGGTTGGTGAGGGTCTGGGATGACCCGGAGGCATCCGGCTTGGGAAAGTGGGTGGTCATGATGTTTTTCA